CAAGACGATCGTAAGAATATACGTCAAATATAAGCTGCAAAATATCGAGAGCGAGCGAGCTCGAGAGAGAGAGAGACGAGATAAGAGACACGCGGAAGAAATGCGCGCATGGGTTTTGCGTAAACGATACCTGCCCTGCCTGCTGTCTATTACCTTCTTTCTTTCCGTGCTTGTCTTATATGCTGAATGCATACACACGTAGGTATATATAGTAGCGCGCAAAGTCAGGAAGAATATCGCTGTCACGCGAAAAGGAGTGAAATGAGATACCAACTAGATTGAAACGCGAATCGCGAGTTCATACACACACACACACACACACACACACACACGCAGCAGCAGAGAGAGACCCGACTACTTTTGCTTCAAGTGCAATAGGCGTATATTATAGCAAAAACGAGCTCTCGCATACGAATGCACGTATATACGCGCATGTAAAGTATAGCTTCAGCAACTTTCGTGCAACACGTCTTTTGGAGACTCGTATGCACCGCGCATATGTATACACGCATGCATGCCGTATAGCACCTATATAAATACGTATCTGTGCTTAAACGAATATATACTGGTTCTTCTTTTTTTTTATCTCTCTCCTTTTTTTTGTACTTAACTTGCCTTGTTTTTGAAACGTCAACACATAATAGAAATCAGACGTCTGACGTCCGACGACAACATTTCGATTCTCTTGATCGACGACTACTATATAGTACACATATACTGTCGCTGCGGCTCGCTCGAGTTTCACTCTCGTTTTCAACTGGTTCTGGTCTCTGCGCCTCGCGCAGCACACGCACGTCTAGATTAAGCCATGCATATACATATATACGCACACACACACAGATACGGTGGTGGAGCCGTTTTGAGTTATTATTTTCACGCGCGCATAAATTACAAATTATATGGGCAACGGATGTGCACGCGCTGAATGCACTGGAGCTGCCGCACTATGGGACACACTATAGTACACATAACTATATAGATGCACGACGGCAGCGGCGGTGGCGGCAGTGGCGAGGCGCACTGCAGGTAATAAACACGAGTCTGGAATAATCAATCGCGACCAGCATCTCTATGTACTGTATTTATCGTTCCGCTAATTCGAGCGACGCGTCGCGAATTTCAAAATCGCGGATGGATTTAGAAATTGCCACGCATCGAATAGAGAAATCAACGGGAGAATAGAAAAAAAAGGATTAACCGAAGCCACGTGTGGCGCTGATGGACTGCGGCGTATATAATATCATTATCTATCAACGGTGCACACGCGCGTTAACATATATAATTGGCTTGTATGTGTGAATACGCTGCGTATACAGGTACGAGCTGCTAACCCGCTTGAATGGAGCTTTAATCACACGCGGCCTCAATTTTCAAGCTGCAGCGAGCAGTTGCCACCGTTGCCTGCGCTGCTGTGTAGTTCGCCAATGCAAAGTCGATTTTCCAAAGAAAAGAGCGAAACTCCGAGCTGCAGCGCACGTTGTAATATTATAATTTGCACGAAGCTGCTGCTGCTACCGCTGCTCCGTGTCAAGGTTGACTGGCATGTGCTTATATTCCACGTCTGATGTATACGTGTGCCATGTGCAGTGGCAGCTCGGCTCGGAGCATATAGCCCCCCGATGTACAAAGGAATCAAAATCAATCGATTGGAATTTGTGATTCGTACATATACCATCTATATGTGTGTGTGTGTATGCTATTGCGAATTCACGTATATACCGAGCCACTACGGCTCTCTTTTCCTCTTTCGCTCGCTGTCTCTCTTCTAATTAGCCAAATGCATAAGGTAAATCGATGCGAGTCATTACAATTGCACCGAGAGCAGATATATATGCACAGTCCAACTGAATTTTCGGGACGCAGAAGCGTATCGGATATGAGCTCGTGATACGATATTTAGCAGAGGCTGGCCAGGCAATCCGAGACTCGACTCGCTGCCTCATTATGACGTAGTAGGTACGTGTACTACAACGTTATAATACACAATTAACCCGACGAGCCGCACGCGCACTCGTCCATATAGTCAGTCTGCTGCTGCTGCTGCTGCTTGCGTAAATGTGAATTTAATGCGACGCTCCTTGCGTTTTGTTGTTGTTTGTAGCCGGCGGGCAATTCGTGAACAAATTTTCTTTCTTTCTCTTTCTCTCTTGCTTGCTCGCTGCGCAGACGCTCTCGCTTCATAATACGAATTGCCGGAGCTGCTGCTGCTGCTGTATAGCAGCTTTCGTAATGCCCCACACTCCGATAGCTACTACTACGCGTCAGGTATATAACATCTTGTTTTGTTTTCAGATATAATTCACCTGCTAAACAGTCGTTATATACGATTGCGCAAGTAACACTTTTCAGACGAGGCGAGGTATTTTGCTCTTACGATCATTATCATTTTTTTTCTTTTCTTTCGTTTTTTTTTACTCGGCTGCGCTCGCGCGATAAAGCCTTTCTTAATTATGCTGTTTATTAATTTTCTCACCTGCCCCGCGCGCGCGTACACATACACATATATAATATATATACACACAAACGCCAGAAATAAAACAGCCAAAGTTAAGTGCGGTTTGTCTCCTTTATGCATGATAAACGACAGTCCGTCTAGTAGTAGAGAGACTTTCGAAACGCTCGCCGCCCGGCCGCTCGACGATATATATAATATTCGTTTTAGCGTTTAGCTCAAATATATAATAGCGGCTACCAGCCACCTTGCAATTATTCAATTATTCATAATTATATGGCTTAGCTATTAATATGCGAATATTTACTCGGGATTTAAATCGACTCTGATAGTATATCGAAGACGCCATTTAGCGGGGCAATGAAAGTCGAATATATGTATATGTGTCTTCTCCTCCCACCCCGCGCCCGTCTGAGCCGAACAATAGAATCAGTTCACGCGTTAATTAGGTATTTTGTATTCCTCGCCGAGTCCATCGTCAGCTTTTTATAATATTCATAATGGTATTGTGCTGGCTGCGAAAAAACAAGTGAAAGAGTCGAGCTCGCGATTTTTTTCCCTCTTTTTATTATTTTTTTTCTTCGTCTCTCGTTTCATTTGGCGATAATTACAACGAAAAAGAAACAACACACACACACAAACACGTAGGTACGTATACACACAGATATACAGACACAATGGAGAACGGAGAAGAGCAAATCTGGAGCACGTGGCGCGCACGCAAAGGTGCAATATATATTCTCCAATTCAGAGGATGCACTTTCGAGACGAGGATAAGTTTTTTCTCTCCTTCGTTCGCTGTATACTATACTACTACGTAGTACGTACTGCGATTCCGAGTGAGCGGGAATTCACATAGAAGTTAGGTAAAAGTTTATTTTCAGCTGAAATATTTTTGTTCATCTGTATGCATTACAATCGCGACGCCGAGATGAAATAAAAACTTTCCAACTTCGATAAAATAATAATAGAAAAAAAAGGAGAGGTAAGGAGAGGAGAATCTCCGAGAAAAGCAGGGGCGGTAAGGAGGTCATCCCAATCAAATCAATTGTAACCTCTGAGACACACACACAGACAAACCCTTGAGTAAGCTTTTTGCGCGCGCGTGTGTATCCCCTCCTCCTCTTATTACGCGCAGAAAAGGTGAACCTTGAAAGGTGAAAATTCATCTGTTTCTAGCTGCAGCCTCTCTTTTCCTCGTTAGTCGCGTTCGAAAAAAAGACGGCCAAGCGCGTATTTCATTCCCAAGTGCGAGACACGAGAGCGAGAGTGTATTGCTGTGTAATTTCTCCGCGATTTATGATTGATATTATTTTTCCGAACGATGTTATTAATCGAGAAAAATTTTTCGTACGCTCATAAATCTTCGTCCAAGCGCGCACACACGTTCTACTTTTACGCGCTGGCAGATAATAAAGCATATAAACTCGAGCACACAGAGCAGCAGCAGACACATACCCTTGATTAAAAACGCGTTAATCGCGCTAATACTCGGCTTATTTGCCCAGGTGCAAATATGCTGCGCTTAAAAAAAAAAACAACAACAGCGGAGTAAAAAAAGAAGAGCAAAAAGAAAGGCAACACTGAGCACAACAGGTATCGCGTACATATACGTAAGAAGTGTAAAAAAATTGGTAAATTAAACGAATGCTCGAGGTACTTCTTCGTTTATTATACGCTCGGCGGGGCAATTAAAGCGAGCAGTAAAACGCACGAGACCAGCAAAATCTTTTATACTGCATTTCTGTAGCCGAGCTGCTGCTGCCGCTGCTGTGCTATACCTTCTGCCCTTAATTTTCACTCGGTGCAATATACGAATCCTTTCATCGTTCTAAAAAAGAAACGTGAGATACAATACCCGAACGTTCGTGCGGCTGTATATCTGTGCTACCGACTGTATACACATGCGCGGCAGGCACTCGCGCACCGCAGGCACACATACACACCTTTGTACGTGCGGTGTGTGACGCGAGCGCGTTAAAAGTTTAAGGACGCGAGGCACGTCTTGATGAAAAGTGTATATACTTTTTTTTTTTATAGCTGATAAAAAGCGACCACGGTACGTTCTCTCTTTTCGGACGCGATCGGGTTCCTTTATAGCAATAATATTTTCGTTTTTTCTATCTCGAATCAAGAGTCCGGATTACGAAACAATTATTAGAGAGCCCACATACCGAATTATTTCCTCATTGACTTATCTTTGAAAGCACATTGACTCTTTGACTGATAAGAGAGTATAGCCACGACGAGAGAGGCAATCAGCCGAAAAAAAAAATTAGAAAGTTGTAAGAGAGGAAAAAAAAATAGAGACTTTTTCGCCATCCAATCGTGAGCTTAACGCTCGATACGTGAAAAATTTCAAACATTTGTGAAATCATCCTTCGCTCGTGCACGGAGCCGAGCCGCGCGCGTGTACAGTCATCTTTATTATCACTCGTGCACATTTTCCATAACACGATGTATAAAAGCGCGCGAGGTATACGCGCGGGATGGATATTATCAGGGGGGTAAGGGTGGGGAGAAAAGAAAAAGAAAATTGCACACTCACCTTACAGCTCTCTGAGTTTTCATGTCGGTAGTTCTTTTGGATTACTTTTCTCCTCTCGCTCGCTCTCTCGTTTTGACCTTGGCTCTTCGCTACTCTCGAGTATTTCGTCTTTCCCAACGATTATTCTACTCCACTTTGCGGAGAGTTTAAATGCACTGCGCGAAATCCGATCTTGGAAACTGAAAATAGAGCGATAAGGCAGCGATTAGATTTCCATATTTGTTTTCATCTCTCGGTTGCAAATATATAATGTGTTGCAATAAATGTTTTTTCTTTTTCTTTTTTGTTATAATTGATTTATCGATGAATTGAAAAATGAATATAATCGTTGCGCAACGCCGTGCGCGCGAGCGGCAGCGGCAAACGAATCGCACTCGATGATCGAGCTTTAATTCACTCTCTTTTTACTCGATTCGGGTAAAATTTTAACGACCCTACCTTTATAGACGCTTGTCAAAGTGCCAATGAAAACATCTGCTTTTTTTCCTTGCCAGCGCGCGCCTCGCGAGAAACACAATTATCGCATACTTCTCATTTATCAAGAAGATACTTGCAAACGAGGTACTTGGAAAAATGAGCCCCGCTGCTGCTGTAATTAAGGGAAAGGTACACGCTCACACGCGCGTTATATACTCATATAACATCGCCTCGAATTTATATGTATAATTGGAAAACTTCAAAGATAGCGCGCATAAGAGCAGATGAGTAGCATACGTAGGTACCCTTGGATTTGAAATAATTATTTCGTGAGCTGTGATGCACGTGTTTGCTAAGCGCTGCAAACGATGCTTTTTGCACCCCGACTAATCCTTTTTTCTATTACGTTTTAAATCTTCTAATCAATGGAGAAAGTATGGAATGCACAAGGCTCTGTGGGCTAAAAATATGAGTACACGCAGTACTTATATTTAGAATAAAAATGGTTTCGCGCCATTTCAATGAATAATTTGCTATTATCCCGGAGTTTTTAGCAAAAGTGCTTAGATTTTTCAATGAACACACGAGCTTGCGTGCCAAAACAAAAGTGCCAGTGAAAAATGACGTTGTTCCTTCGTGTACACACACACATGTCCGCGAGTCGTTCGTTTCTTCCGAAGGCAAAATACTTTCTATTGCAAAAGAAGTATGCGGATAAACGTTTTACTTCATTAGACAAGTATTTTGCGCGGATAATACCGCACTCGCGTCGTGCGAGCGAGTGAGAGTTTGTTAAACTGCCAGGGATAAATTGCTCTTTATAAGAGCGTAAGGTTGTATTAAATGCGTTTGTTTTTTCTCGCATTGAGGAAATAGTAGTTATATGCGTATTTATATACGTAATAATGAGGCGAGCGCGAGCAAGCTGCTCGTCGGGTTTGTCCGTGTGTATAAAATGACAATTTCGGGAAATAAAGTTTCGATGAAAACTTGAAATAATAGCGCGATAACTTTTTTTTGCCATTCCGTATGTGTGTATACCGTCGTCGTTCGATATCATTTTGCTCGCGCGCATCCGACACTGCACACACGGTACTTTATAACTCGCGCGACGACGACGATCGTCGTGTGTTGACGATGACATTTTTAACGCCGCACGTTTTCGAGCTTTACGTATTTCATACGATCATGTATCCCCCACCATCGTTCGCGAATAAATAAAAAAAAGGGAAAAAAATCTAATTTCGTCGGGGAGAGACGTATTCTCATAACTCGTGCGGGCACGTGATTCGCGCCACACTTCCATACGGGAAGGCGCGATCGTGACTGTACTTATAGTGATCGCGCGCAGCCTTGGACGCGCGGGGGAGCAGAAAGGAAAAAAATGAGTGTCGCACTCGAAATTTGCATCGAGAATAAGTATAGGTTTTGGTTGCTATACATGCTGCACACGTATAACGTAACCATGTCGCAACTTCATATTTTTCATCTTCAAATTGTCTGTGAAGGGCGAAAAATGTCTGACTGATACATGTATATTATAAGATCACACAATCCTTACAAGATCCAGCCGCAGCAGCCACCGACACACAAGACGAGAGCTTTCAATATATACAAAGTCTCGAACTCAATACACACGCCCGGAGCTATTTGAAGGACTGAAACGACGTAGCATAATACTATAGTCGTGTGTCGATGTATACATATAGCTCTTATATGGGTATTGTATGCTCTCGCGCGTGTATGTATATGTAATGCAGAGAAATAGAGAGAGAGAAGACAAGGTAGGTAGTATACGCACGAGTTAAGCACGAGGAGAATAGCGCGGAGTAAATAGCTAATGAAGCTCTTCTCGTTGTCTAGCATGTCTTTCGCATAAAGATTATCGATGACTTTGTCGGTTTATAAGACAAACTCGTGAGCCGCTTCGAGTATCGCCGGGTATTATATTTCCATCGCGAGCTTTCAAGTTTTTATATACCTATGTGTATAGTACGCGATGCGTGTCACAATTGCAGGGCGGCGGTGGTGGCGGTCGATATGCCGAGGATCATTATCGGATATCTTTGTTAATCGAAGGAATAATGACTCGACGAGAGAAGACGACGACGACGACGACCAAGGCTGTCTCTTATATATATCTGCTATTTTACCTGCATATTGCTGCTCTCCTCTCTCTCTCCCTCGCGCAACAGCGAAGAAATCGCATCTCGCTCTCTCGACGCGCTCGTTTGGATTAATGTTTGAGGCAACAATATCCCAGCCATGGTGTGCTGCGCAGAAGGTATCCGAGAGAGGGTCGGGTTGTGCTAGCGGATACGCATTACGCACCACCCGCCCTCCCCCCCTGCACAGCACAGCACCGACGCAACGACGACGACGAGCCTCGCGATCGATTCTCAAATGTCCGTGCATAGCAGCAAGAGAGAGAGAGAAAGAAAGAGAGTGCCATACAAGCTATATATGCGTGTGCGTATATAAAGGCGGAAAATGAAGACGCGATACTTGTGAGAGTCGAGCTGCAGAGTCGAGCCATCGTCAAAGCTATATAATATATTAAGTATCTCGAGTGGACCCCGGTCGACTTTTTGTTTTACGCGCGTCGCCTCTATATCCATATTATAACGTATATATACCAGTAATGTGCATCGTGCATGACGGAACGAAAACACCAGGTGTTGTATACGTACATTAAATATGTATGGTATAACGCTCTCCGCAGCAGAAAGCCGTATGCTAGCTGGCTCTACGTGCGTTTATCATGTATGCGTGCATGTGCCTCCTCGCGACTTGGCTTTTGTTATAATGCGGCAATTCTGCACACACACACACACACACACACAAGAGGCCACAACAAGTTCTATGCTCTCGATGACTGTTCTCGTGTTATAGCACGCTAATAACGGTATACGAAATTTTCAAGTGTTTCGCGAGTAGCGTCCCAAGACGATAGGTCGCGCACACGTACGTATTATATATAATTTAATACACAACTGCACGGATGGAGCAGCCGAAGAAGGACTCGAGGACGTGTATGACGCAAGAGACTCGCGATATATATCCGACTCTCTCTCTCTATATCGTATTCTCGTCCTTATCACGCGCATGAATTTTTAATCGCAATCCGGGAAGGATCGAAGCTGCTACAGGTGCTGAAGCGAGAAGGATGTAGTCTACTTATATACGCGTGCAGGGATCGATCTAATATTATTGGGCCAAAGAGGAGCTGAGCTGCCGGGGAAACCGCCGATCGGTTCATTTGCGTCGACAAGAAGACTATTACTAATACGATAATGGAATAGATAAGCTCGTTGCTGCACAATGTAATCGCATTGGGGCGCAGAGGGTATAAAAGAAAAGGACCTTATGCTACTGCAGCCGAGCTGTGCTACGCAAGGTCTCGTGATCGCATTGCTGCGTGCATTATGTAATCGGTTACGATCTTATGTGTGCGCGATCCAAATATAAACACTGTCAAAGTGGAGTTCATAAATCGATGCGCATATTACGCTTCGCTGCCGCCGCTGCGAACCGTTCGGTACGTAGTAGTAGTAGTAGACACGGAGCTGCGCGAGCGCCGCGCAAAAAGAGCCCTAAAAAGGAAGGAAGAAGGAGTATTATAACTGCACGCGAGCCGAGCCATCGCAGGCTATAAGGCACAAGGCAAAAGAGTGTGTGGCGCATCGCAGAGCGGCAACACAGCGGCAAAACACAGTGCACGGCGCGCAAGGCCCGTCGAGTAGCTCCGCTCTGTCTGTGTGTTTGTGTGTGTGGAGGTGAATAGAGGTGCACACTGCAGTATATGCACACCAAGGAGAGAAAGAGAGAGAGAAAGAGAGATATGCTCGCTCACACACACACACACAGTTACGGAGAGCTGGAACAACGACTGGTTCTTCTCGTTGTTGCGGGGCCTGCTTTTGCGAGTTGCGAGGCGCGAGTGCAGAGCCGCGCTTGGCGCACCGAGTGCAGCAGCTCACGATATGTAGTATATAGGTATATATATATATATATAGAGGAGAGGTGCAGCGCCTGCTGTTGCTGCTGCTGCGGTTTCACGACCGGCCGGACGAGAAGTTCTCCATTGCATATAGCAGGCACTGCGGCACTGCAGCACAGAGTTTATATATACGGAGTGTGCAGAAACGATAAGACCCCTGCAGCAGCAGCAGCAGCAGCAGCAGCAGCAGTGCATGGGAAAGAGAGAGAGAGAGAGAGAGAGAGAAAGAGAGCCGGTACCGTTCGGTGGTCTCTTCGCGCGACGCTGAGCAAGAGGATCGTTGCAATGTACCGTCCGACTCTACTACTACTACTATACGGAGCTCCGGTGCATAAGAGCCTCGTGCAACACGGCATAAGGCGAAAGGAGTACCTCGCGCGACTGTATGTGCAGTCTCTCTTACTCGCGCTGCTCCGTAGCTCGTGTACATGTACATGTGTGTGTGTGTGTACACTACATAGAGTCGTGTTCGAGCAGCAGCAACAGCGAGCGAGCGAGCGAGAGAGAAGAAAGGCTCTGTAGCGCGCAGAGTTTGCCCGAGCTCTCCGCTGCCGCTGCTGCTGCAGCACAGAAAGGAAAGAGTTGCGATCGGCGTACACACACAAACATAGACAGACCAACACTTATAGTTGCGTCCGTAATACCTGCACTGACACGATCCTCGCAGTCGCTCTTGTAATAACAGCTGAAAAACCCCCGCGATGCCGTATGTACTTGATACCTCGACAGTATTAGCGGAGGTTCAAGAATACATCCGCGTTATCCAATGTTATATCTATCCGAAAATCCACGTATTATTTCGCGCAGCTGCACACTTATAATTCGGAGTCAACCTTCCACGGCTATTTATGCGCCCAAACCGCCACCTCGTGCCTTTTCCATATACACACATAGGTATAAGGTAGAGAACAGATCGCGATAAGAGAGCAGCAGAGAGCCGCTCGCGCCACGCGTTATTTCATACCACAATACCTGTGCGCCTGCCTGCTTGCTGGCTCGTGAGCATGGTGTAGCACACGCACATGCACTACGCACACAAACGCATTATTATAAGCGGCTGCTCGGCCAACAGTCACGAGTTCGCTTCGGTTTTCGCAGGTGTAATGCGCGTGTATACAGCCTAACGCACACACACACACACATGCGTATAATATATTCGCGGTGTATATAATGTGTACCTGCGCGCGTATATATATCGTGCCCTAGGCGTGCGATTCCCCCTCCTTTTTCTCGCCCTTCTCGCTCGCTCCTTTACTCTACTACTACTCTCTGTGCTGCGTGTGCAGCGAGTCAGGCACTGCAATTCTATATATATACACACGCGCGCGCGTATTTCTTTCGCTCTGTGTCTTTCCAATTTTTTCTTTCTCTCTCTCTCTCTTCCATTTCAAGTACAACACACTGCACTGCTGCACATGCACGTACGACGGCACGCATGCAACAACGAGCCGCTTATACCTACAACACATTTATAATATAATGTGTATAAATATCGCGCGAGCACATCGCGTTACGCGTTCTATGTATAATGCTGCTTTCAGAGTCGCATTCGTTCGGGTATATAATAGAATATGGGCATTAAAAAATTATAATGGCTGTTATAAGAGCAGTCTTGGATATTTGAACGCTTGCAAAAAAAACAAAATAAAAAGAACAAAAAGAAACAAACAAATACTGTAAACAAAAATCAACATCAATTGTTATCGTTACCTGCGATGGCTATTGTCTCTATTACAGCTGCAGTCTGCGGATTTTTATAATCGGAGCAACACATATAATAATACACAGATACATCTACATGTTACACACAGAGATAAACACACGTAGCACAACAAGACACCAAACACATATAATATACGGAGGAGCGCCAACTCCGTATTACCGAGAAAGAGACAGTCTTGCGCGGACGACGCGAAAAAGGCTATTGATGTCGCCCCTCGTCGTCGTCGTGACTGTCGTCGTTGTTTTTATTTATTTTCTTTTTATTTTACCCTTCCCCAAATATAGACGTGTAGTACACTGTGTGACACTCGCGCTCGCCGCGTTCCACCTTTCTCGCGACGACTTGTGTTGCTGCTGCTGCTGCTGCTGCTGCTCTCGATAATCAAGCAACGACGAGCATGACTCTCGATGGATATCGGTGTATATCGTTATGTACCGATATATTCGTTAATTCAAGAAACGAAAATTTATCCTCCGTTATACCGCTGCTGTTGTAGGTTTGCAAGCTGCAGCATGCGTATATATATAGTCGACTGCACACATACGTGGCTGCTGCTACTGGTGGTCGCGCCACTGGATCTGGCCTGCTGTATATAATACGGATATGTGTGCGCCAGGTAATAATGCACACACGCATGCAGTCACTGCTGATTTAGAACGGCGCTTGCACACACACGCATCCACATGTAACACGCATTAAAGCATAAACAACGAATCTACTTGCAGTACAACAAAATATAATCAGCTGCTGACGGAGCATAAGGTGGAGGTTGATGATGTTCGCATGCGTATATCATATGATAGCGGTATCGCGTTTTAGCGTAGTAGCAGAAGGATGACGATGGTCACCACTACTGCGCTGGGATGCAATTGAAATTCAGTCGCGCCTCGTTACCTAACTGTTGCTCCTGCTGCTGTTGCTGCTGCTGATCGTCGATGGTCCTGCTGTCAGCTTTGGAGCTGCAGAGAAGACGATGGGACATGTTGGTAGCGTCGGCATCGAGTGTCAAAACCTGCGGCAATCGACTCGCGCGCTCCGTTTATAAGATAATCGTGTCCCCGCGCAGGTTTTATTGGCTGATCGTCAGCCGTTGTTGCATCGACAGGCCAGAACGATGTAAATCGATCATCGCGGCGCGTCTATAGCAACCGCTTGCACACATATAATACCGCAAGCTTATAGTAGGCCTATGTTATAATTGAAGCACAGACACGCTGCATAGAGCAGTGCAATTTTCAAATGCGTCGCGGTGTACAAATGTATGTATATAAACACAGAACAGCGATGATGCACTATATTCTACTGTATATTTTGTCGCGCTGCAGCCTGACACGACAATAGCAGCTGCAGAAACTTTCGGACTGACTTTTGCGCGTGTATTGGTGCTGCTGCTACGGCTCGTGTTGTTATGGCCGGGCAGGCGGCGTGTTGTATACTGCCCTGCATGCGAGTACGACAGCAGACTCGTGGGCTCGTGCTATATACTCCTCTCTCTATACTTGTGTGCGTCTATACATAGGTATATACAGTGTCTGTACTTGCTGCTGCTGCTATACCCACCTCCCACCTTACGGATCGCGCGCTTAATACTGTGGCACTGCTTGGCTCTGTGCTGCTCTGTGGCTGCCTCAATGCTGCTGGCTGCTGCTTGGGCTCTCTTATACCACCCACCCGACTCGACCGACCGACTCGCGCTTATACTCTCTATACATACGCTATATACATATAGGCATATTGCACATTATATAGAGGACCAGCAGCGTGTGCAGCAGCTTAGCTTACATATCCTAACTGCAAGAGCAGCCCCGCGAGTATACTCTCACTGTATACCGCGCGCACTGACTGCACTCTGCAACGTGCTGCTGCTGCTGTTTGCCCTATCCTCTTACTCTTTTCTGTGTCCGCGTATGAATACGTGTGTACATATACTTGTATAAAAGCCGAGTTTAGATCTAGCTGCAGCACGACGAGCACGCGTACGTACCACCGGCATTGTGCTCCGACTTCTTATTCGAGTTGACTCCGCGAAGTAGCAGCAGCTAAGCGGCTAAGCTAAGCGGACGATTGGATGCTACACACAATCGTATATATTATCTATACTACTGGCGCAGGCGATTGTATACGTCGTTTCCGTGACCTTCTCCCGTTTTTCGAACTTGAATTTTTCTTACGTACACATACACATACAGGAACCCCGTCTCAAAGCAACTCTTTTATCGCGCACCGAATCGATACGTATAAATACGAGTATGTAAATCGCGAAAGTCGATTGAACTCTCGGTACGGAATTGATGATCTTATTCGGAGTTGGATTTTACTCTGGAAGTGTGTGCCGGTACAGCGCACACACCGCGAAGCATCTTCACCGCAATGAATATAATATACAAACGTTAATGGGTATGATTATTATAGTATACCGATACTGAGATGAGCGTGTATCGTCGATGTAAGTATACTTACGTTGAATATTCGATATCGCAGCTGATATTATATATCAGCGAAAACGAGAGCAAAACAAACAACTCGCCTATATCCAGCGACTTCGTACACACACATACACTTTTAATGCATTCACTGAATAACGTATCACGGAAAACACCAAGTGTCATGCACGAATATCATACAGAAAAACTGTAACGTATTCGCGGCCGCGCACCGAAAAAGAGAGGATGGAGAAAAAGTTTTTTGTTTTTGGATGGTAAAACTGCCTGTGGAAGAAGAAAACAATCTTTAACCGCGGCACGTCGACGACGACGACGACGATGTCTCGCGCGGCTTTTGTGAAATCGCGAGCCGAGTGGGCTTACAACTACTTGCACTGATCGCGCGTTCGAATCGACGCGATATCGTTGGTCCCATCTCTCTCTCTCTCTATCTTTGTCTGTGTCTGTCTGTATCTCGAGTGCAGACAATTGTCGCCAAAATAAGTTGCGGCGCGAGCGACGCACAACTATATCTTATAAGCAGCGCGCGGATTCGTGATAAGTAGGTGTCGGGCTGATCGGGCCCCGTCATAATACGCGACTTACCGTGCGTAATCAGGCATGTGTATAATCGTACAAAACAATCTCCTTGGCGCACACAGCTCGCCGATCATAATACGCGCGTCACGCGGGACATACACGTAATAATGATACGCGGCGATTGAACTCTGAATTACCTTGTGTGTATATTGTGTATGTAGTAGAAGCTCGATCGAGGTCGCGGAGCCGCCTTGTCTTTTGGATTATGCACACGATAATACCCATCCGTTTGATCTTGTTTTTTGTTGCTGCTACAGCCACTTGTAGCCCATTCGTCAGATTATTATCGCGCTCAATGTGCAGCGAGAGAGAGACACACATTTGTTGCCTCGTCGAGCTTTCTGCTGCATTGAATCTCCGGGCCTTTGGCAGCTTGACAAATGTCTTATATTGCGGTCTTCATTCGGTTTGCAGCACAGGATCATTGAGTTCTCAAAAGACAAAACAACACTCCCAGCTCTTTCTTTCTTTTCTCTCTCTCTCTCGCACGCGCAAGTAGAACATCGGGCTTTTTCGTGGCGAATAATTCATAAGTTTATGGCGTGGCGTATATATTCCCCCAAGGGCGAGCAAACGAATGAATAATAAAACAAACGTGGCACTTGACATGGGTACACGTCCCGCATCCACGCTGAACGCAAGGGAGAGAGAGCAGCAATTTTTCACACCGAAAAAATGAAATCTGTACAAGTTCGCGACGCGAGGAACGATTTTTATCAAAGCCGCGCGTGTGCGCGCTATAATTCGAATTAACGGTGACTCGGGCGTCACTGCTACCATCTGCTGGAACTTTTTCCAACTTTTTAAAGTAAGCCCATGTTCTTTTATTATGAATCTTACCAAAAGTTTTTGAAGTACAAGGAAAAAGAATAGTTCAAAATCGACTTTATGTGTCGAAACAATCAGAATGATAAAGTGAGATAACGTAAGGTCAGTGTGCTTTTGACTTGTGAAATAATTTAGTCATTCATTAATTATCAATATATTGATACTTTATAAAATTCTTTTTACTAGATACATGTAAAAGTGCCTATTTTTTTTTTTTTTTTAATACATAAAGAAAGAACGTTTTTTTATATACCCCATAATGTATAAATATTTAAAAAAAAACAATTGTTCGTTATCAAAACGCATATAAAACACTATTTACAAGTACGCACATATTATTTACAAGTTTTGAGCTTCCACATGTTTGAGATATTTGATTGCCGGAAAAAGCTAGAAAATGCTGAACTAAAAATACAATTTTAATATTTTTAGTCAAGTTCTTTATATTCGTTATATGATTTTTAACTTTAATTTTAAAATTAACAAAAAAGTATATTCAAAATTAAATTATTTATTAGATTACTTTAAGAAGCTATTTACAAATTGATGACCTTTAAGATCGCTGCTATCAATTTCTAAAATCCAGGTATAACACGTCCTCTCTTAGCTGCTTTCTTCATTTTGCCCATCTTCACATCTTTTTTGCGTTTCATTATGTTTTCTTTTCTTGTGTCTTGTCTCTGTTGAATACCTCTTTCAACAGCTTCTTTTCTGGCTTCCCATTTTTTAGCACTACTCTTTTTCTGATGCTCTTTTCTTTTAATTGTTTTCTTCAATAATTCTGGGTCATCTTTTACCTGTAAATAAAAACATTATATGAGCGTTTTGGATCAAAAATATCATTCTATGCATCTATAGAAGTAATAAAGAAAGTATCGACGCGCAGTGCCATCAAAAAAGTGAAGAATAAATGGGCTTAAATAGAAATTATACACACCTTTTCTCCACTTGCTTTAGCTAAAGCTGACTGCCACGCCATTTTTTCTTTTATTTCCTGAGCTTTACCAATTTCACCAGCTTTTTCCAATTCTTTCACTTTATTCTTTGTTTCTTCAATTTTTTTCAAAATTTTCTTTGGATCTTTTTCACCTTTGTTAGACTTCTTTTCAGATCCGAATTCTTGGAAGTCAAATTTGCTGAAAACCATATTGCCTTGGGCATTGAATATTGGTTTTGGTTTGGATGCTGGTTTAGGAGCTTCTTCCTTAATACCATTTTCTTCCTTTATGCTGACAGTTTTCTTTGCAGATGCAGCCTCTAGTCTGGCAAGCTTTCTTTGAGCTAATTTTTCTTGTTTTTTGATTTTCTTTTTCAAACCCTTTTTCAGAAGTTTGTCTTTGTGAACTAACACTTTATTTTTCATGTCCTCTAGCTTTCCACGCAGTTCTTGAATTGTTTGGGCTCTGTCTACTTTTTTATCTTTCACGTCTATAAGTAATAATTTTAATTGTTAAATTCTCGAAAATTATTAATCAAATTATTAATTCAAAGTTATATTAAACTTACCATTGTGATTGTTGTTTGGTTTTTCCTCAGATTCTTCGTCGGAACCTTCGAAAGGAAAATCTTCTTCATGACCATTCTGGACCGCTGCAAATTAAACAATACATGTTATTTATACATGTCAATCAACTGTATGCATCTAAGTATGTAGGTTAGAGAACGAATGATTACTTACCGAGCTCGGCACCTGGAATTGGCATTTTTGAAAATATATTCGATATGAATGCATCCTCCTCTGCAAGCTGTTTTTTCAGCGTCTTGAAGTCCAACTTCTTGTCAATCTTCATGTTTGTTACTAATAAATATTATCAACACGTGAAACTACCGTAAAAGCAATACGCAGCGGTCGTTCGGTGTTGCGGTAAGAGGCAAGAACATGCGGATTGCGGCGGCTGCATGAGGCTCACCGTCTGTCACTGACTTACTGCGCAGCATGCTGAGTCGACAAAAAGCGCGAGAATTTGAATTTGAGTAAATAACTTGTAAGCTTATAAAAATGTGTAATTCGTGATCAATATAAATAGATGAGAAAAGAAAAACACAAGAAAGTTTTTCATAATTTTATTCTTTTAAAATAAATTTTAGGTTATTATTTTTTCTGGACTTTGGGAAGTTTTTCAAAAACGCTTGATAAGTTATTTCAGTTAAATAATAATAATTATACAAAGTAAAATAATAAATTACATTTTATTATGATGAATTTGTTCTATAAAAATGTACTCAAAATGTATAGAATTGACGCAGACACTACGTGTAAACAAGTTCTTTTGCTCGAAAATAATTGAATGCCGAAAAATTACTCTATTGATTTTGATTTAGGACTCCTTCTGCTATTTTACTTTAAATTTTTAGTAAACGATTTAAGTAAAAGATCGAAATCATTCTGTAATAAAAATATATATTGCTTTTGATCAATGTGTGTTGTGTATGAAGAAAAATAGACAGCACAAAGCAGCTCATGAGTGGCAAAGGTCACAGAAGGAGGTACCAACAAGGTTTCTAAAATGCATGTAAATAATTTGTTTTGATCGTAATGAGGTACAATTTGACACTTATATCATGTGTGGTTCTATTTTCTTGTTTGTAAGATTATTGAAAGGACACTAATCATCTTGCAAAACAGAGATTTTTTTCTTTTGTACAGACAAAAAACATTTTTTTATGCTTGAAATGAAAGAAAATGAGCATTATCTCCAAAAGTTCTCTGTATGCTAGACCAGTCTCTTTTTAATGAGAATTGCACACTTGTAACTCAATTCCAACTTACTTTTATTATTATAAAGGAGCTAATAAATTAAAAAAAAGTTTTTAAATTATTTTAGTTTTTAATTTTAAAGCACATCTGTAATACATTTAAATTTAAACTAAAATAGTAACATACAAAAATTAAATTTACATAATGATGTTTCAATTGAAGGATATAAAAAGCCATATTTTATAAAAATAGAAAAGTTTGTCACCTAAGAATTTATAAAATTATTTTTATGAACATTTTAAAAGCTCAATTAAAAAGTCTATTTGAAATAATTACATTTTATATAACATACATTAAATGTAAGAATTAGTTGCGAGCTATTTCCATTAGCCGAGATGGACGAAGAACAACTAACTTTTTGTTACTTAAAACATAATTATCATAACACTTTTCAATTTCTTTAGTATCAGCTTCACTCTTAAAGTAAACATGACAAAAACGAATATCAGTATTTCCTGCTAATGATGTGTCTGTAACTGCTAGTGGCTCCCATCGATTAAACAAATCTAACATGTATGCACTGCCATAACCCTTTGGTATATTACCAACAATTATTTCTCCAGCTGGAAAAAATTTTTTCTGAGGTATCAAGCCCGTCTTTTTGTGTACGACCAAGTCTGGAACATCATTAATGTCCTCAATATTGGTAACAGATTGAGAAACATGATGTGAGTTATTAGCCACTGTTAAATTTGTTTTTTGAAATGAAAAATTTTTCTCATTACTATCAAAACTTTTAGATGATAGATTTGAAAAATTGTTCTTAACAGATTGATTATCCATGCAATGAATCTTTGAGCTAACAGTATAACCACTGCAAGTTGATTGATTATCATTTTCAGTACCAAATACATTTCTTTGTGCTCTATCACTTTTCCTGTGGAAAAAATTACTTCTCTCTTCATTGTTTGTATTAGTTGTTGAACCTCCATTAATTTTTTCTTTATGTTTGTTTTTGTTTGGTTTCAAATGTATCGTTGGATGATTTTCTAAACCACGCACAGCGTTCACTGCTTCTTCTTGGGTTTTGTATCTCACAAAACGAAGGCCTTTTTCATCACCAGCTTTATTAACACCTCTTACAGTACCAAAATTGGAAAATATTTTTCTAATTTCTTCTTCATCCAATGCAAATTTATTGGGAAATAGAACCCAATAATTGTTCTTTTCATCTTGATACCACAGATCATCATTTACCACCATGATTATTAGATCTCTGCAATAAAAATAATTCTGTTTTTTAAAAGTTAGTAAAAAAAAGACAATTACATTCAAGATTAGAAATCCACTCCATAAAATAATTCACGCATGAATTCAAAAATTAACGCAATTATATTAGTTTTATTAACAATTACGCGGTAAAATAAACGAACGGTACAAATATTAAAGAGCTTACTTTTGTTTCAATTGTTGACAACTTTGATTAAAAAAGTTTTACTACAGAATTTTCGTTATTCTTTTGTTGGGTTCAAGCGTAACCTACGCTCTATATAACTGTATGATGAATCCTGTAGACGTGACACAACGAGTGTTGTAAAAAAAATAAAACTATGGGGAAATATTCAGACAAAAGTCTCAAGTCTCAAACGCCAAAAATAGAAAAAAATCGGTACAAAAACTCCGAGAAGAATGGTGCGTTCAACTGCCTGGCCAAGCACTCACTGAATTACTAGAAGTCAACTCCATACTCCATCATTCATTCATTATACAATATACATTCATTACAGCGCAACCTATTGGGTTAATACAAAATTAATGTGACAATGGTCTAATTAGAGTTATAGACTCATTACTCATTAGTCGACACGTGGACTTTCGAACGTACGATTGTAGAATGGATTTGTACATACAACAGGTATCTGTCAAGTCCGCAGTACTTTGCAGACCAATTCAAACTGCCGCCGGTGTGCACGTGTGCATAAAATCTCTCACAAAATTATTTACTGAAAGAGCAACACTCAGCAACTATCTTACAGTTTTTAATGATGAACATTTTTTAAAAGGGAGATAAAAATTCGATTTTAAAATGATATTAAATTTATTTATTTGCAATTTGAAAAAATATAATATTTTTTGCTCTGGATTATTTTTAAATTCATCATTGTAAATCATTATATTAATTGAATTGAATCTTATTAATATAATAATACATACATAATAATTTTATAAAAATAAATACGAATTGATTATTAAATTTTAAATATTAAATTAAAATTTAATTGTTGATTGATTAGTTTTAATCTACTTGATTAGGTTAATGAAGTTTCAATTTCAAAACTTATAAATCTTTGAGTACAAAATAACAATATTGAATTGATGATATGAATAAATATCATCATTAACAAAATTTAAAACTACTTTCTTTTATTAATTGATTAGGACGTAAAACTACTAATCTTTGACCTAACAATTCCATTTTATCAAAGCGTGATTCAATTTCACAAGCATCTTTTTCTGACATTAAATATATTCTGCAGAATCTAATATTATTCTTTGTTGTTGAAATATTAGTAACTGCAAGTGGTGTCCACTTTTGGAAAAGATGCAACATATAAGCACTACTATGTTTATCTGGAATATTACCAACTATCACTTCTTGTGCATCTAAAAATATAGGTTTTTGCATATTTTTGTTAGATGCTACAAGGTCAGGAACTTCATCAACGATTGAAATATCTTCATGTATACTTTTATCCTTGTGTCTTGTAGTAACTTTTTTAGTCTCCTCTCTTAAGGATGGAACACTCGTTGTAGTACTTGTTGTATCATTAAGTTCATTATCTTTTTCATTTTGCAAAGAAACTGAATTTTGAATCCTAGGAGTTGATTCGTTATTCAATTTTTGGTTCCCCTTGTGATGAATCTGATCTTGTGCTGTTGAGTTTTTATTTTCAGAAGAGTCTTTCGAGAGATCTTTTCCAAAGTTCTCCCAAGGAACAGAATTTTGAACCTTAGAAGTTGAATTGTTATTCAATTTTTGATTCCTTTGGTGATGAATCTGATCTTGTGCTTTTGAGTTTTTATTTTCAGAAGAGTCTTTCGAGAGATCTTTTCCAAAGTCCTCCCAAGGAACAGAATTTTGAACCTTAGGAGTTGAATCTTTATTAAATTTTTGGCTTTCCTTATGACCAACCTGATCTTGTACTTTTGTGTTTTTATTTCCAGAAGAGTTGTTTTGACGATTTCTGTCATTGTTTTTATCTTTTTTAACATGTTGCAACAAATTAATTTTGGAATGATCTTTCATACCTATCATAGCCAACTTAGCCTCTTCCAAGTTTTGATATCGAATAAAGTGATATCCTCTTGTATCTCCTGCTGCTTTAATCTCAGCAACAGGTCCATACTCTGAAAATATTTCTTGCATTTCTTCTTTTTTCATATTATTAGTATTTTTGAATATTAGGCTGTACAAGCCTCTCATATCTTTACAAATGTATCTATCGTATTCTTCCATTTTTATTCTGAAAAATATAAACAATTATTAAAATTGAGCATTCAATAATATCACAAATTTTGTAGTTGCTTGTAATAAAATATCCACTTTAATAAAAATATCACTATTGATAAAACAATTCTAGAAGAGAATTAAATTAATCAATACCTTTGTTGGTTTTTTCTTCAAAGAAAGAACAAAGAAATCGTTGTCTCGACGCCTTTGGAGTAAATATAAACGAGTGTCGACGGTTTGTTTTCCTCCGATAACAAGAATAGTCTCGGGTGAGTTCACGTAGCAGCCAGGTAAATTTTTATAAACAAAGTCAACCACACGTTCGAGTTTACGTTCGTATTTTCACGGTCAGAATCGAACTGCGTCAACTCGATGGAAACTCAAATCCAATTGTCGTCGTTCACCCTACTCACACGGTCAGTGTTACACTGTTTCGGAGATCTTACAATAGAACGCCGGTTCTTTCTATAATGCGTCAGTTAGTCGACACGACTTTGAAATTCAAGTTTCCCTCGAAATGCGCGTCCAGCGCCATCTGTATCAAATTTGAAAAAATCATTCGAACACGCGCAAGTTTACCAAGCGAGCCCGAACTGATGTCGAGAGGTCTCTGCCTCCTGCGTGTCGAGCGGCATCGAGTCGAGTGGACGGTCTCGAGCTGCTCCGACTTTTTATGACCACGTTTGCCTGTACGTGATACACGAATACGCGTGTGTATGGGTATTGGTCGACGGCGGCGTCGAGCTGCGCTACACGATTCCGCGGAGCTGCACATATACATCTGAACACACGCAGCAGCGCACACTATATATAGCGCAGTACATACAAGTACGCAGATTATATATATGCACGCAGAGAGTTCACTGTGCAGCGTACACAAGAGTCAGCGGCCAGTCGTCGGCGAGCAGCAAGCGGGGCGATTTTTACGCTGCCGCACATACTTACACACACACAGACAGATACAGTCGCAGCATATACAATAAGGCGCGACTTTTTTTTTACCTTCTTCTCTCTCCCCGTGTGCATATACACTGCGCACAGCGTGTCATCGTTCGCCAAGAGAGCGAGAGAACATTTCGTTTGTTTATATACGTAAAAAGGAGGCATCGCCGAGTTGTCGCTGTTATATTATTGGCTAACTTATATTAGGAGGCTCGCGTGCAGTGCGTCACATTGTTGTACTACTACACAGTGCAGCGAGTCTGCTGCTGCTGACTGTTTGTTTGTTGTCTTATAACGTGTGTTTTGTTACGTATCATCGACAGGACACGTGATAATTTAAAGTGCCATAATAAAAGTATAGCTATAAAACAACGTAAACACGTTGGCGAAAAATCACAACGATTGACAATCATTGTATGTATACGATATATTAATTGCGGAGCATATAAGAGAGAGAACGTATCATTATATACACAGTGTATACGACATATATGTAGTGTATAAGGCAACAAACAGTATACGCGATATTTAAGAGGGGTACGTACTCTCGATATATACTGTAGCGTAAAGGAATAACACGGTATAAACGCATATACGCGACTACACATTCTGACATGTCTATATATACGACATAGGCGCGCGAAGCGGCAGGCGAAGTTCGGAGCAGCAAACAGAATCATCGTTCGCAGCAGAGAGGAATCAGAGTGTCTGTGTGTGTATGTGTGTGCGCGCAAAAGAGAAGGAGACATAAAGAGCGCGAGAAAGAAAGAGACGGACTCATTGCGCTGCCGATGCGCATAAGTCAGTGTGTGTGTGTGTGCGTGTATTTTAGTGTAGAGCCGCCGCCGCCGTAGTCGCGCACAATCCAGCGCAGCGCAGCAGAGAACGTCGCGCGAAGATACAGCGCGCTGGGGAGAGCACCAAAAGCTGCTGCTGCGAAATTTCATCGACTCGCCGCGCGTACTCGCATTTAATAAGTGTACGCGTAAACACACGTACACTCGCACGGGGCGCCGCGTTGTGAGTACCCCTATATATATACGCACACATAATAATAATACCTCGAAAAGTTCTCGAGCGAGTGAGTAAGGAGATTCGTCTTTGTACGTGTATACTTGTGCGCGAAGGTGTGTCTGTGTGTATTCGTGCGTTAATACATTGCAACAACTGCAGCAGCGGACTGCAGTCGTCCGAAGGAGAGATCCGAGAAGACAAAGAGAGAGAGAGAGAGAGAAGCTGCTGCTGCCGCCGCTGCTTGCCGAGTTGCCGTCGCTTTGCCCGCGCGCACCGCCGTCGCCGTTGCTGATGCTACTACGTACGGCTGCTGCTGCTACAGCTACAGCTACTTGCACACAAGTCTACTGTACTGTGCCGATGTTGGCGAGTCGCTGGCTTGCCATAACCTCAAAAGGCGAGTCATAAAGAGTAGAAGAGGAACAAGTTTCATCAGTGTCGGCTATAACAACAGTGCTCCGGACACAGTGTGTTGTGGGTGTGAGAGTGCTTTCTGTTCTTTTATCTCGAGCGACGCTATTTAGTTTTACTTTGATTACATATATATTTTGTTCATGAGCGTCGTGCACATCGTGTGTCTGTGTATTAAAAAAATATATACACGCAACGATCCCTCGAGCCTTAGTGCGTTTTGGTTCGGGCTCGGTTTCCTCGACTCCCCAACAGACCAGTAGCAGCATCATCGTCGTCGTCATCTCTCCCTGAGACGATAAAGTCAGCGAACGAACGTCTTTTGTGGCGCCAAGAGACATTACGAAGGGTATATAAATCCGTGAATGGACAAGGACAACAATCATCACGCGAACAACATAATGCTGCAACACGGAGGCTCGAACGTAGGCCTTATGGGCGGCCAAGGACAGGCTGGACAGAACAGCGCTGCTTACGGCAACATGGGCCAGGTCGGCGACGGCCAGGCCGGTCAGGGTCCCGAGCAGAGCGTCGAAGCGCGCAAGCAGGACATCAGCGAGATTCTCCAGCAGATCATGAACATCACAGACCAGAGTCTCGACGAGGCGCAAGCCAGGTCAGTACAAAAAAAAAACAGTGTCTAGACGCACGTTCGTTCGACGACCTATGTGTAACGTTCGAAAAACTTGTACGCTTGCAAATTAATTCTTCTTTTTTTCGTAATACTCAGAAAACTTTCATTCGTGTAATTTTTGATTATACATAATTGCTTACATTCCCATTCTTTCTGTCTGTTCTTGATTATGCAGGAAACACACGCTCAACTGTCACAGAATGAAGCCAGCCCTGTTTTCGGTTCTGTGCGAGATCAAGGAAAAAACAGGTAAATACTTTATCATTGACTCGTATTAATTCGTCGCATAATGATCTCTTGAAACCATAATACATATAAGAAGCTGTATACATACTTATTACACATGCTTAGCGGGTGTATAAGTAGTAGGTAAATACCGCATAACCGAGAGAATCTCCCAATGACTGTGTACATTTCGCACCTCGTTAAATGGCCAAATAAAAAGAAGAGAACCATTTATGCTGCTCTCTTTCTCTCACATCCGACTTTCTTGTTGTTATTATTCTACACGCCGGCCGCGAGTTCTCTAATCAACGAACGAATTGAAAATTTCGGCACGCTATCCCTAGAGAGAAAGAGAGAAGAAACCGATGATCGTATAATTTTTTTATATTACGCTCGCACCCCGTTTAGTTCTCCGAGGGACTACAATGAGCGCAAATTAGCTGCGCCGCTTTTAAAGAGAGCAACGCGATTAATCCTTAAACTGCCTCTTTACGTTGCGTTGTAAACACAGCGTTAAAGAGGGACTCTAGCTTTATTACGTGCGCGAGCGAGGGCCTGCGTTTGTTTATGCGCCAAGCTTATGTCCTTATACTATGTTTGTTGCACACAGTTTCCCATTGTATGCGTGTGTGTATGTGTGTGTGTGGGTAGGTAGGCAGTGTACGCGCGAGGGGAGAGAAGTTAGTGCGAAGTAGTCCTTTACGCACCACGCCCCTTTTATACGTTTGCGTTTGTATTCATGAAAGGATAGCCCGTGAGCTCTATATATAGTATGGACTTTCTCTGTCTCAGCGCGCGCGAGAGACCGAGAGAAAAAAAGAGAGAGGCAGGGAAAAAAAGGACTCTACTACGCTCGTCTCGCTCCGTATATATAGACCTATGCCTATCCTACGAGCGAAGATGAATAATTCACTTTTGATGAAGTCGCGCTCGGGCTCGTAGCAACTTATAGACGTAGACTGCCGCTGTGTACAGGCTCAACACGGACACTCGGACAGATCCACGTGGTTCATGATAAATGGATGTGTGCTGCACGCGATATAGATATATCGTCGTGTAAGAGGCGCAGATCTCTCGATACATATGTATACAGCAGCAGCTAGCGCATGACGCGTGTTACGAAAGACTCGATTTCAGCTGCCGAGCACGCGACGTCTCGTCTGCTCTTTTTTTTTCTTCTTTACTCCGTTTATACACGCGTCAAAAGTACTTACAGCTTATGGGCTGCAGAGGCCCGAGAGCTGCACAATTTTTCGAATTAACGCGCTGCACCGCTGCCGCCGTCGACACTGCTAATATACGAGAAAGAGGAAGAAAAAGTTGTAAGAAGCCTTGGATAATTTATCGCTACGCGGCCAGAAAGTGCCGATCGTCAATATCGCGCTGGGCTCGTAAAAATAGAAAATTATGATCATCCCATATCGGCGAGACAAGAGAGAGAGAGAGAGAAAAGTAACGAGAAGAGAGAAAAAAGCTCGCAAAGAGCTGTTGCGCTTCTCAGCACGGTCCGCTCGTATATAATACACCTCCTCGAGATTTATAATTCTCTGCTCTGGACCGAAAAGAAAAAAAGTCACTAGAGACGATACACGAGCATCGACTCGAAGATCAATTTTCAGCGGATGATCCTTTGGCTTTTTGTCGACAAAGCCTCTTCTTTCTCGTTGTGTCGCTCTAATACGTTTTCGGCCCTCGTCGCCGGTGACTTATACATACGGCAGCACACACATGTGTATTTCCCATTGGCTCGGATGCCTAATAGATGGATTTTACTCGACCGTATTCTAATAATAAATTTCCGCTGCCTCCGTTAGCCGCCCGCGTGGAACAAGCGCAGAAAAACAAAGAGAGCAGCCGCTGCCGCCTTCGAATCGCTCTCTGTGTATCCGTGTGTTTTTTCTTATTCGTCTCTTTTTCTTCTCAGTTGCGACGTGTAATACACCGAGAGCAATGGCGATAAAGGTCATGTTTTCTATAGTATAGACCAGGTTTTGATTCGTCTTAATTAACACATGCGTGCATACGATTAAAAATAAACGAGTCAGGTATGATGTAAAATGGTAGGAGGATCTTTTTCGGATTAACAACGAAACTTCAACGGTGAAAGTACACGTGCTGGGAAAAAAATGTGTGCTAGCTCTATCCACGAGGCCTTATGAGATGGTAGCGAATATCCACACGTTCAATTTGGCCGAGATCCAGTTCTAAATCTATTTCCTTGTTACGAGAATCCCGCGAAAATTGAATGCCGTACGAAAATTCGCTGGGGCTCCGAACTTTCTATCTCTCTCTCTCGATATTGCGCACTCGGGGCTAGGATGTATCGTTGTAAATCATAAAAACAAGAAGATAGAAGTAAAGTCAAACAGTTTTTTTTGTAATTTTACGTCAGCGTCTGGTGTGTGTGTGTGTCCCTTTCTCTATCGCGCGCACACAAAACGTGCCGATCGCACGACGAAGGGCTGATTCGCTAGCTGCTTTTAACAAGCAAAAGCCGAGAGATAACGATAGAGTCAGCGGGCCGTGTACGTGCGTACGTGACAAATTCGCTAATTTTTATCGAAGAGTAAATTTAATTTGGAAAAGTAAATTCGAAACAAAAGTGTGCTCGATGCACATTTTGCAATTTACGGTGATCTGTGCTCCGAATTCGCGACGCTTCGCCTCCCCCCATTGCTCGTGACTTTTTTTTTTATATATAAAATATATACAAGCAAGGGACTTGGAGAGAAAAAAATCTTTTTACGGAGACCACGGCTAATCGTGAGAAGAGAATCTATAGGTTTAAGCTTATAATATATAATCCAACTGCACGAGAGAGAGAGAGAGAGAGAGAGAGAGAAAGAAAGAAAGAGATCCCTATGCAGATGCGATGCTGCGACTGCTGCAACTCAGTCTCCAGACTCTCTGCAGCAACAGCAATAGCAGCAGCAGCAGCAGAGTCAAGGTAAACCGGCTCGAAAAACCTTTTTTTTCCTTCTCGCTTGTCTGCGTGTAAACGCGAGAGTCAACGTTGTGTGTATGCGCAACGCGCATCCTCCTACTTTTCTACCGATGAGTGTGTGTGTGCGTGTGTGCATGTGCGAGCATATACGTATACATTCGCGAGCGGGACTAACGAGCCGCCGACCCCGAAGAAAGAGAATGAATCGATGCACGCTGCACATTCCTTTTGTACGTACAGCCGCTGCTGCTGGGCGAATTTTATATAGAAAGAAGAGGAGAAAAGGAAAGAAAGGGGAATTGCAGCGTTAATCGCGCGCGTTCAAGAAGTTGCGCGCACGACCATTTCGCTCTCCTCGAGCTGAAGTTTAGTCCTTCGACGATCCTCGCGCCTCGAGATGGAAATTTTCAATTAAATTATAATATCGACGAAATGAGAAAATAAAAATTATAATTCGCGATGTCGTCACGGTATTTCGATCGCTGCACTCGATGCGATGTGCATAGTATACAGCCATGCGACTATTACGACTATCCGCAGAGACACTTGGAGCGTATACGTATATATACCGCGGCGCTGACTGCCTGCCATCGGATGCAGGAGGAGACACAATTTTCATAAAACGAAAATAGAGTTAGCCCAAGTGGATACTTAAGCTGTCAAGCTTCTGCGGAAGCCACATATCATATCAAGCGAAATTCACGTGCGCGCACAGTGCATAAATTTACTCACTATATTTACTAGGTGCATAGAGTTTCTCTAGTCGTAATCGTAATCCGTATATAATATATTATTGCATCGTTCGCTTTCGTATTATTGGTAATTTTATCATAAAGGTGAATTCTAACTCGAGGGCAAAAATAAAAATCACGCAGAACATCCACTAACTCCGTGGTATTTTCAAACGTCCTGTCTAACAAGGGTGGATGAAGGATCAGTGCGCAATCCCATCAAAGGATCCGATAATAATACATAATTTCGTCGAAGGCAATCAATCGCCTCTCTCGAGAATGATACGCACGCATCAATTGAACTGCCCGACTACTGTACCTTTGAACCTTTCTATCTATATATAAAGAGAGAGAAGAGAGCTCATGGCACATAAAGATTTAACAAAGCATAGGTTACAGGCGATAAAAAGCCTCGGAACTGCGTGCGAGCTCGCGCGCGGCTTCTGCGCGCGTTGTTATATCATAAAAATCTCGTAAAATAAGCTCGTAAAGCACGCCGCGCGCGAGTAGCTGTGTGTTGTATCTATATGTGCAGGTACTCACACACACGCGGATAGAGCAAAGCTCTCGGCCGCGTGTATAAACGTGGTGTATACGACGCAGTTGTTTACGCTCGATACCCTGAAAAATGCCCACAGCAGATATTTTATTACGCTTGCTCTTTTATATTATTATTATTATATAAATCTCCAACGGGCGCGGTTAATTACCGATAATTCTTTTTGTCTTTTCATAAAATCCAGTTTAGCTGATGGTGGTCGTCGTGCGGTTGGTGTACGCGCAAAATATGCAATATCGCATGAACTAATTAAAAAGTTGGCGCGAGATCTTCCCGCGTCTTTTTGTTTTATGCGAAATATAAGGAGCGCGCTTGTATATATAACTCCGACGTCGCAAAAGCTCGTGCATATTATACTCGCGCGCAGCGGCGAAAAACCGGCTATGTCTTTCTTGTCTGCGTGCGCGCGGCATTTCGTTGTCCTGCGGCGCCCACGACGTTTGCTCGAGCCCGAGCTCGACTCTCTTCTCTCGGGCTGAGCAGCAAAAGCAGCAGCAGCAGCAGTCCTTAATAATCGTATGGTAATGCTATGGAGATTGCGACGAAGTATATATCGAAGTTAAAAGGAAGCCCTTATCTTTCTCTCGTTGCGCTGTTTGTGTATATATATTGCGCACTGCACCCCACGCACAGAGTAATGCTTCGCGTACGTACGTACAATATATATTTTTGCTCCTTTGGAGAATTTCAGCTTTTATAACGTTGACTCCGAGCACCAACTTAAATATTTATGTACGTGTTGTGTAGCGTCGAAGCTTATACGTGTGTGTATGTATAAATGAAAATTTCG